TTTCCAAAAGGCAGGGGACGGTGTAGGCCATAACATGTGGGCGCGTGGAGCGTCAGACACTGGACTTGCGCGACCAAGTGGGGAAGCCGAGGCGTAGAAGGTGCGACAGCCTCGCGGGCTGAACCCCCTCAGGCCCGAAGCAAACGACGAGGCCACGGACTGCGTGGCAATGTCACGCACCCGAGCCCCCGATGTTTGAGAAATACGCGACGGCCGCGTGGATCCGGACCTCCGAGCCCCGTAACGAGTGACGTGACAGTTTTGCCACACGAAGCCAGGCCACCTCACTTCGCGCGCTGCGCCCAGCGATGCCCGAACCGTTGCTGTCTTCGCGCCCTCGCAGCACCCTCCTGGAGAACGGCAACTATCCAGCCGAAGCCGCGACGCGCGAAGCGCTGTCATCTTCGCGCCCCTGGGGGTGGCCTGGAGGAGCCGTCCGAAACCTGAGACTTGATTGCACCTTCCACACCTCCTCCTCCTCCTCCTTTTCTTCCCCCCTCCTCCGCCTCCTCCTCCTCTTCCTGCCCTCTTCCTCCTGGGATCTCCAGAGAATCCCAAAGAAGCTCCTAGAGCGCTGCAAACTTCGGCGCACTTTTTTGACATCAGCGGACCCCCGTAAAACCTTCCCCTCCTCTTCTCCCCCTCCGTGCTCTCAAATCCATTTCCTTAGAAACAACTCCTCCCTGCCGCAGCCCGAAGCCGGTCGGAAGGGCGGCCCGGGCGTTTCGCCTGAGACTTCCTTACCATCAGTGAGCGTAAGCACTGGCAACAACTTCGCAGATGGAGGGCGGGCCGCTTCCAAAGTGTGGCTCTCGCCTGAGAGCCGCGCCTTTTTTCTTGTCAAATGCTAAAGTTTCACACATGGAGGGCGGGTGGTTTTCAACATGTGGCTGTAGACTTAGCGCCTTGCGCATTCGTTTTAAGCACTTGCATTTTCCGCGGGTTCCCATGGTTCACGTGCCAGAACCTGCGTTTTGGAACGATTCAGGATGGTCAGGGCGAATCAGTTACGGTGGTTCGCGGTGTTGGAATCCCAAGACTGGTGTTCTGGCGTGATTCAGGATCGCCGAGACACAACAATCAGGTTGATTCGTGGCGTTGGAGTTCCGAGAATGATGTTTGGGCGCGCTTCAGGATCTTCAAACGTTTGTTTCCCAATGGGGCACTTCCCTCAGTTGCAATGAACTCTTGTAGGGGCCTATGAAGAGAGAGAGCTGCGGGGGAGGGTTTATTCCAACATCGTTGACAAGTCTTGGGTTTACACTGGTCGCTCGTTCTCCTCCTCCGCTCATTCCTCCTCATGTTCTTCCTCCTCCTCCTCCTCCTCCTCCCCTCCTCCTCCTCCTCCTCCTTCTCCTTCTCCTTCCCCACTTCCTCCTGTCCAACCTCCTCCTCCGTCTAGGCATGGAATACTGCCCTTCTGAAACGAGGTGCAAACCAACCGCAATTAATTGCGGGGTAGCCCTCCCAGCATATTGAGCTGCCTTGACCCTCGTCCCTCGTCCCTCAGCCCTCGTCCTTCGTCCTCTTCCTCCTCCTCCTCCTCCTCCTCCTCCTCCTCCTCCTCCTACTCTCCTCCTCTGGCGACGGCGACACGACGAGTCGACGCCGTCATTTTTTCGGGACATGTACCTCTGGACCTCTCGCCCTCACCCTGGAGACCGCTTTTTGGCCCCAATTCGTTTCTCGATGGTCCTGGGGCCTCGAACGGGCCTCCCGATGTCAAGAGCGCGGAAGGAGCCCACCCACCACGACTCTTCTCCGTGACGCCAGAAGCGGCGGCGGCGGCGGCGGCGGCGTCGTCGTCGTCGTCGTCGTCGTCGTCGTCGTCGTCGTCGTCGTCGTCGCCGTCGTCGTCGTCGTCGTCGTCGTCGCCGTCGTCGTCGTCGTCGTCGTCGTCGTCGTCGTCGTCGGCGGCGGCGGCGGCGGCGGCGGCGGCGGCGGCGGCGGCGGCGGCGCGCGGCGGCGGCGGCGGCGTCGGCGTCGGAGGGCGGGGCGGCACTCGGCGGCGCGGCGGGCGGCGGCGCGGGCCGGGCGGAGAGCGAAGAGCGACGGCGACGGCGCGACGACGACGCCGACGCCGACGACGACGCCGACGACGCCGACGAGGGGAGGACGAGAGGACGAGAGGCAGACGAGAGGAGGACGAGAGGAGGACCAGGGAGAATGGGGAACGAGGGGGGCGAGAGGAGGATCAGGGAGAAAGGGAAACGAGGACGACGAAGAGCGACGACGACGACCACGACGACGACGACGATGACCACGACGAACACGACGACGACGACGACGACGACGACGACGACGACGACGATCTCTCGGGGTCCTTCTGCGGGCCTCTTTTTCCACTTGGCATCGCCCAGCGCGTGACCCGAAGGACAGATCGTTGGGCCGAGCAGTGATCCTCTCTCACATGCCTCCGGCGGGGGGATTTCCACCGCAAGACCTGTGAGCTGGGGGTGGGGGCATGTCTGGATGCGCTCCAGACGATCCAGGTCGTTACTGCCAGTGCGGCGGGGGCGCGGGGAGGTGGAGAGCAGCGAGCACTTGAAGCGACGGGCCGAATCAGGAAAACAGACGGAGGGGAGCAGCAGGAACAATATGAGGAACGCACAATCACTCACACAAGGGAGGACACACTGCACGCGATGGCCCAGCAAAGCATCAACGCAGCGAGCCGCACATCCCTCTGCCTGGGAAGTGCTGAACAAGTAGCAAACAATTTGGTTTAAAGAACTCCCCAGCCATTGCACCGCAGGGGAGTGGAGGGGTGAGGGGCGGAGTTTGGGGCAACCCTGGACCTAAACGTTGTTTTTCGTTTTGTTGTCGTTTTGCTTTTTGTTTTGCTCTACCTGTTTTCCTGCACCTCCCTGCCGCAACGAAAAACAAACCACAGCCGAAATCCAGCAAAACGGCGTTTAGGTCCAGCCGTGGTTCGGGGGAGGACGGGGCAGAGGAGAGTGGGCGGCCGAGGAAGGATGCGAGGGGGGATGCAGAGGGAAGAGGAGAGGCGGGAGGCGCCGAGGCCAAACTGCTTGTACATCGACGGCTCGGCGCACCGTGGCGAAGCGAAGTAAGGTGGGGGCGTTGGATAAGGAACCCTTAGATAAGGACTCGAGGGTCTGGAGACCGGTGGCACTCTAATCGAGGCTTGGCCATGGATGTCACCGCCGCCCTCATCATATGCGGAACCCTTCCGGGGTCTGCAGTCTCCTGGGGGAATTCCTGAACCAACGCCCCCACCGTAATTAACCGAAAACGGGTGGGTCATCATGTGGCATCTCGCCTCGCATGCAGATCGAAAACATCGCCCCCGGCAAAGCGCCGCTGCCCGTGCAGGACCTGCCGAACTCGGGCCTCCGTGTGCCTTCTGCGCGGACCTCCCCGTGTCTGATGGGGCAGACCGCCCAAATCACGAGGGGTTGTAGAATGGTTTTTGACGGGTGGGGGACGGGGAAGGAGGCCACCACCAGCCCGAACAAGTGTTTTGCAAGAGTCTGGAAATGGATCTGTGTCTGGATCTGACATCGCCGAAATCATGGCGTTTCGATGATGTGGATTCCATCGTGCAGTTCGAAGCCGGCATCCGGCGAAGATGCCACCCCGCATCATGGTCGGTACAAGCGGGAGGCCGACAAGTGGGCCAAGGAAGGTGCAAACGCGCGCCTCAATGACCTATCATCTTCGTGATCGGCTGCGCCATCACCGCGATCAGGTTGCCTTTCTTTCGAAATATGGTGCGGATTCTTAAGCATGTCCACCGACTGGGGTATTCTGATATGTCTGTCTACTCCGAGCGGGACAAACAAGAGTCTACTCCCCTATAGATATCCTGAAGCCTCGCTGTCAAAGATCGGTCCAATTATTGAAGGTCACGCCGTGTTTGATTTTGTCCACGGGCAGCTCTCCATGCAGCTGCACTGGGTAAATCGCCGAAGTCCGCTGTCATTCACCGCGACCAGTCCAACCATACTAACCGCTGTCATGGACGAGGCGCTGCAAATCGCTGGCGCAAGAATTGGAACACGAAGAAAAAAGAGAACACGATGCCGCCCGCTCACCACCTCTGGCATAATGGGGGCCCGACCTGGTGCATTCGCTGCGGGGCGTGCGCGCAGGAAAGTCAAGGAACTCGCTCGACACTATCCACTACATGTGGACTCAGCGTGGGACGCCGAAGCCCCTGCAATTTTGAAGAAGGGAAGGGGCCCTTCGTCGGCAAAAACTCCTGAGGAGGTTCCGGTGCCGTTGAGGCGTCATCAGTCTCGGCTGCTCTGCAGGGCGGTGGGCGTTTTGTTCTCTGCGGGGCACCTGCTGCGGATGAGGGGACACGACAAAGGGGGGGGCGCCGGCTCTGGAGGGGGAAGCGTCAGCCTGGACTCGGCAAGACATCGCCGATGGATCGGCAGTGTCGCCGTCCCTGTCGCGCAGCAGCTTCATGCGCTTCGGCAGCCCTTTGCAGAGACCCTCCACGTGGCACACTTTGTTCACCTCCTCGCAGCAGCTCTTCAGTCGCCGCGCGTCGCCCTCCCGAGCGCCCCTACCCGCTGGATCGCATGGGACTGCACCTGGACGGGGTGGGCTATCAGGCTCCTGCGGGCGATGAATGGCCGCACCTGGACGGGGTGGGCTATCAGGCGGGTGATGAATGGGCGATTTGGGGTCGATGCGCGCCCCCCCCCCCCCCCTGAGCCTCGCGGCCCCTGGCATTGCCCCGCCGGCTTTCGGGCCATACCTCGGCTCTCTGGCGGCCCGCTCGGGCCGATGCGGGCACCCCTGGCACGCTCTCGGCGAGGCGCAGCCGCTGGAAAAGCACCGTGAGGTCGGAAAACCGCCGAGAACCGATGCAGACGCCTGAAGACCTCGAACCTCAAGTCTGGAACACCTGAACCTACCCCCCCCTAACGTTGTCCCCTGAGAGGAGCGCAAGAGTGCAAGAGGAGGAGCGCCAGCACAGCTGGAGGAGCAGGACCGACGACGAGGACCACCAGCGCGACGGGCGC